CCATCAGTTTGTCAGTCAAAGACAAATGACTTTCCTGTGAGGTCTTGGCCTCTGCTCCAATGGGGGCCAACAATCTATCCAGGGAAGAGGGGCTGTGGCTCAGTGGGGGAGCCTCTGCTTGGCGTGCAGAAGGTTCCAGGTTCAATCCCCGGCATCTCCAGTTAGAAAGGACAGGCAGTAGGTGATGTGAAAGACTTCTACCTGAGACCCTGGAGAGCCACTGACAGTCTGAGTAGACAGTACTGACCTTGATGGACCAATCGTCTGCCTTCAGTTTAAGGCAGCTTCATGTACATTTCGGAATCTAGGGGCCGCATCCAAGAACTTGCTCCGCCACATGGGTTTGGGAAGCTCTCCCTTTTCCTTCCCACCACCCCTGCTTCTTTTCTAATGGCAGAATGCAAACATCTATAAGGCATTGTGTTTTCAGAAAGCTGTGACCTTGATGGACCAATCGTCTGCCTTCAGTTTAAGGCAGCTTCATGTACATTTCGGAATCTAGGGGCCGCATCCAAGAACTTGCTCCGCCACATGGGTTTGGGAAGCTCTCCCTTTTCCTTCCCACCACCCCTGCTTCTTTTCTAATGGCAGAATGCAAACATCTATAAGGCATTGTGTTTTCAGAAAGCTTCCGGTCTGGCTAAGATGGAGGACTGAAGCGTTTCGCGATCGTGCGAAGCGAGCGACGGCCACTTTTGACAGTTTGGGCAATACACAGCCCAACGCATCACTCCCCAGCGAGGGGGGGGACAAGCAGGCAGCAGCGCCCTAGAGGGAGTGTGAGGTTGGCGTAATCCAGCTTCGGAAGAAGCTGAATTGGGCTTTGACCTCCTCCCACGAAGAAGGCAAGTGCCAAGCAACTCTATAGTGGCCGATCGAGCCGGACTACCGGCATAAATTCTTCGTCAGCAGACTTCTTTGAAGAAGGACAACAACTGTGAGTTAAAAGAAACAATGCGAAACCCGTTTTGAACGTGCTAGATAACAAAAACGTGCCGCTTACCTGAACTGAGTTTGGAGTCAATTTGAATTAAGCGGTTGAGCGGAAAATGAATAGTAAATCCCAGAAATCCGATTCCGGAGAGAAAAAAGTTGATTGAAGCCTTTAAAAACTGTAAAAACGCTTATTGTTTAACATTCCTGTGGTGAAGATGGAGCCGTGTGCGCAACTGTAAAATCGAAACTCACGAACAATAGCGTGGGAAGAGCAGGCTGGTGTCACAAAGAAAGAGGTCCGTGTGAAACATCCAGGAAGTTGAATTCCTAGACGGGCATTAGCGAAAGGAAGACAGTGGAACTTTTAAAGGTGCCGGACCGGAAGTGAGTTGTATGCGGAAGGAAGGGCCTGCAAAGTATCAATTTGACCTACTCTACATGAAATTACCATAGAGAAGTTGCGCCCGACATTTTGAGGAGGACTTCAACTAAATTTGCTTTTTTAATATATTTCTAAGGGTCTTTGGAAAGCGTAAACAGAGAGGCATGGAGGACTAAATCTTATCATCTAGAAGAGTGCTTTATTTTGCGAATCTGTGAATTGGAAAGAAATCGCCAAGACGGAGACCAGGAGAGGCAAGAAAAGAGCCGACTCAGACCCAGAACTTAAACCAATGGGCTATTAATATGAATAAGGAAGTGGCTATGGAAACCTGGGAATATTTGTGGAAAAATTCTATTAAGATCTCGACATGTACTAATGTTAAAGAAAATTGTTATAAGATGATGTATAGGTGGTACATGACACCTAAGAAAATTGCAAATATGAATCAAAATATGTCAAACAAATGCTGGAAATGTAAGAGGCATGAGGGCTCATTTTATCATATGTGGTGGACTTGTGAGAAAGCTGTAGACTTTTGGACAAAAGTCCACAATGAAATGCAAAAAATACTGAAATGTTCTTTTAAAAAAGCACCGGAAATTCTGCTTTTGGGACTCAAAATGGAAGAAGTCAATACGACTAAAAAAACTTTACTCTGGTACCTGATAGTGACAGCGAGAATGATTTATGCTCAGTTTTGGAAGACAGAAAAGGTACCAGAGGTTGAAGAATGGATACAAAAAGTTCTGTTCATGGCACAAATGGATAAGATTACAAAAAAACTGAATAACAAAGAAGACGATGAGTTTTTTGGAGAATGGAATGATTTTAAAATTTATCTGGAAAAGAACTGGGATGTGAAACAAAACTTAATATGTTTAGATCAATATTAAGTTAAACGATGTTATCTTTAGATTGTAATGATGAAAAACTGATATTGATGATATGAAGTAATTTGGAGCAGGGGTGGAAGCATTGTGGGAAGCCATTGGAGGGAGGGGAGGAACTGGGAATGGGGTAGACAATTGATAGAATGAAATGTTTTATATGTTGTATTCCTGAGAAAATAAAAAATTTGTTTACCAAAAAAAAAAAAATTCTGCAAATGGCAGAATGCAAACATCTATAAGGCATTGTGTTTTCAGAAAGCTGTTTTTATTTCCAAAGGGCCTGCCTACCCTGACTTGACAAGCAGGCATTCTCCAGAATCCTGGGCTGAAGCAAAACAGGGTTGAAGCTGTGCCAGGAGCCTGAATAGGGGGCAGGCCTGCGGGAGCGGGAGACACGCCTCGTCTGGCAAGCGCTGCAGTTCAGTTTATGGCATCTCGCTTCACACATTCCCTTGGCGGCGGCTGCAGCTTTCTGCCTTTATTCCCAGTCAAAACCCAAGACCGTTTCTGTTTGCTCATTACTGGAGTTGGGTATGCGCTCTTCCCTTCCCCCCCCCCCCAGCACATTAAAGCATATTCAGTGGAAGATGAAAGTGAGTTACTGCATCCCGCGGAAGCACTCTGCTGAGCTTGGCTGTTCTGAGTTAAAGTAACCAGTTCCGCTCATATGATGTCCAGGGCAGACCCAGGAAATCCATATTCCATGTGGAGAAAAGCCAAATTCCATGTCCCCTGCAGAATTCTGGCCTGCAAACCACTCTGGTGAGGACCACTGCATTATCGAGCAGCTCCTGGCATATTTCTCCACTCTGGATCTTGTGCGCCTTGATCAATTGCTCTCCAAAGGAACTGACTCACTTCAAGTGACATGCAGTGCCCTCCTAAGCAGGTCTACTAATGCTACTCAGTGGAGCACACTCCCGGAAAAGTGTCCTTAAGATCGCTCAGCTGCTTCCAGGAGGCTTGGATCTGAGAGGGCTCTGCCCCGGGTGGTTCCCAAAGCTGTGGGTGCCCTGGCTTAGTCTCAAGAACCAGAGAAAGCACTGGGAGGGGAGGGGGGGGCTTGTGTGATCTGGGAACACTGAGGATTGCCTCCCCAAAACAAACACATGGAGAAAAGTGCCCTTGATAAAAGTTCTGCTGTGTGTTGGGGGGAGACGACGACGACAGTCTTTCACTTGTGGTTGAGGAGATGGGGATAAGATGCCTTATCATGTGCCAAGGTCCACCTCTGAAATACAGTGTGACACAGAAAGCGAGTGCTGCTTGTTTTTGTGTAGTAAATATATAACATGCCTATTGTCCTGTAGAACAGGGGGTCCCCAGCGTGGTGCCCGGGGATGCCATGGTGCCCACCGACACTTTTCTGGGTGCCCACCAAGTGTCTTGGGAAAGTGGGTGGGGCCAGATGGGGTCCTGCCCCAATAGGGCTTTTGATTGCTCCCTTGAAATCTGATTGGCTGTGCAGATTAAAATAACATTTCAGCGACAGTGGCCACTGCAGTGTTGTCTTTCTTCTTTCTCCGGCTCCTCTTTCCCGGTGGATTTTTAAAAGCGGCTCCCCTCATCCTCCGCACTTGTGCTCCTCTCTGTACGTGCTTGGCTCTGCCTCCCACATGGTCGTTTTGTGGTTGTACCGATTGCCCCGCTTCAAAGTTCTAATGGTGCCCACAGGCTCAAAAGGTTTGGGGAACCCTGCTGTATAATGTACAGTGAGGGGCTGCATTCTCGACAAAAGACAGGTCCTCGCCCTGGGGGCTTACAGTCCAGATTTGTCTGCAAAAGAGAGATGGGGGATGAATATGAGCAAATGCAGTTGTGAGCCTCTGAAGCTGCATTATACAGTTGGGTCATCGGTCTGTCTACCTTAGCACTGATTCTTTCAAGATGACGCACAAGCCGGAGGTCTTCCCCAGCTCTGCTTTTGCAGGTTTTTTCAGACCCGCGGGGAAAGAGGGATGAAAAGCAATCCCTGGATGAAACCGCCTTCATGTCTCTCTTGTCAGTCTCCTGCCTACTTTTCTTAAGAAGGATGCTCCAGGCCAGGGCACACAGTTCAAACATCATGCTGGGTTGTAATCACCTTTTCAACCCTTTCGCTGTCTTATCCAATCAGGAAGCCTTTCAGAACAGGGTTCTGCATAGAATACTGTTCAGACTTCAGATTGCTTAGCGCTGGGTTGCAGGCATCATTTGTTTTCTCAGCTCTTGATGACTCGTGACTGAATGTGTGAGTTACATTTGAAGAGGTACAAGGATTTGTTGACCACACTTGGGATTTCTGAACTCTTGTTCCACATACCGAGGTTTCTGCTTGATGTCACCGTGTCACATGTGTGAGATGAACCTTAGAAGAGGTTATGAGAATACTATTATACTTTAATAGCACCTTCTTAGACAGTTTCATCAGTGGATGCAAGCAAAAAAGGAATGCTGAACTCTGTCTGGAGGAGCTAGCAAACTTCAGTGTAGTCAAGAAAGGACTGTGTGTGCGTATGTGAGAGAGATGACTAAGAGACGGCAGAGGCAAGAAGGGAGAGAGAGAGGAAAGGAACTAAGAGGCTCGAATGCACAGGGATTCGATTAGTTGGGGGTGAGCACTGTGAAGTTACTCTCAAAGCATCAGTGGAATGCTGGGTTCTGGGGTGGGGAGTGGGGTGCCAACAAAGGTGTTCTGGGGCCAAAGAGGGCAGCACTCTAGGTCGAGTGGGGCTGTTTGGGAGCTGGAGCCCTCACCGTGGCCAAATGCGGGGATCTCTTTTGACACTGAGCTGTTTTTGTTTTTCTAGGGGACGATCAGCGTTGGAATAGATGCCACTGACCTCTTTGATCGCTACGACGAGGAATATGAAGATGTGTCCGGCAGCAGTTTTCCTCAGATTGAAATTAACAAAATGCACATATCCCAGTCCATTGAAGTAAGCGATGCATGCACGCATGAGAGGAAGCAGTGGGGGAGAGTAGGAGCCAGGCCATTCAGCAGCGGGATCCTATATGGGTTCATATGCTGCTGTTCCAGCTCCTGATTTACATGCCATTTTTGCATGCCTTTTCTGAAAGTTAACAAGGTGCTCCCTGTTGGATCATGTCTGTAGAGACTGAGCAGCCATGTCAGAAGTTAACCTTTCTCTGTCTTTGTGAATGGCAAGAGTCATTTTATAAGTGGCAAAGTAGTCCAGGACACCAGTGGGTGAAGTAAATTGTGCTCCTTCCCTGTGGTGGCCAATGCGAATCATATGAAACTGTCTCCTGTTATGTCTGCCTGTTGGTCTTTCTAGCATATCTCGGGTTTCCTCAAACCAGCAGTGGCTCACTAGGATATGAGACAGAGAAGCACGCCTGCTCCTGTCTGTATGGCACTCATTGTCACAAGCCCTGTTTTGTGCTGTGTTTCTTGGGCATGCTGGAAGGTGAATGCTTGCTTCCATAGGCATGGGTTGCTTGACATAGTGCTTAAACATATTCTTGTGCCTCTGCAAAGAGACAGAGTCTCTTTTTCCTTGAGAAGGCTCTTGGAATCACATTACATACCCAGAAACACTCTGAGCATCGTCGTGGACTGTGCAAATCAATTTCAGTAAGAACATGCCTTGGGGAAGTGTGCTAATGTGGGCATCTCTTGGCAGAACATTGTCACACACCTGAAGCTCATATGCGCAGTAATGGTCTGTATGTATCATAGGCCCCGCTTACTGCCACGGACACAGCGATCCTTTCGGGAAACCTCTCCACGCAGAACGGGAATGGAGGTGGCTCTGTTAACTTGGCTCTTCGGCGGGTCACATCTGCCAAAGGTTGGGGAGAGGTGAGGAGCCCAGCTTCTGTCATTCACTCTGTTTAAGGGCAACGTTAAGCCTTCTCTGCGCTTTCTAAACAGCGACCGTTGTCATGTTCTCCTTCTCCCTCCTTCCTCGACTCTGTTTTTTCCTGTAAGACCGAAGCCTTGGTGCTGCCTTTTCTGAAAGTCAACAAGGTGCCTGACCACTTTTTTGGAGTAATTTCTTTACCTCCTTCATTTTCAAATTGCGGCCTTATTTGAAAAACAGCACTTTCCCTGGATGCCGCATCCATGAACATCCAACAAAGTCAAAATCTAGGGCTTTCCCCATTGGCCACAGACAGGACCTGTGTAGTGATTTTTGATTTCTCAAAGCTGGGCCTGTAAGGGGAGAAGGATTCACAATGGCTCCTGGAAGCTCCTTTCCTTGAAAAGCATTTGGCCAAGGAAGTTGAACCCAGCACCAAATTAGAATGTGGAACGGGAGCCTTGGAAGCTGCCCAGTCCGGTAGTTGGAAGCTGCCCAGTCCGATAACGTTTGGCATGAAGACCTCTTGAGGACTCTCGCCTAGTTGGCAGTAGCAAGGGATCAGCCAGATCTAGGCCAAGCTCTGGCATCTGGATTTTGTTTAACATTTGCATCTTACTATCAGATCCCGCTTCTGTGCAGTTGTGGGCAGGGTTAGGCAAATACAGGGTGAGGGAGCAGAGAGAAAGGTGTAAGCGGTTGGTGTTCCTCAAGAGCAGATCTACTTGCTTAGAGCAGTAAGGGGCCCTGACCTGAAACCTTTCTTTAAGGACATGTTCCGGCTTCTTGGGGCAAGGAGGCTTCCTTGGCTGGCCTTTGTATGGCCATGCCAAAGGCACACGGGCTAAATCCCTGACTGATGTTCCTGGGACAACAGTTTAAGACCTGCAGCAGGTTCGTATCCTCGCCCTTCTGTTCGAGGATCTCCAAAGTGGCATTTTAGCCTTGCAGCAACCAAACAATAATTAGGCTGAAAGAGAACACCTTTCCCAAGGACACTGGTGCACTCTTCTGAGAAGAGCATGGATAGAAAACACATGGCCAGCCTTAGACAGGAGCAAAATCGAGCTACTTCCCTGGCCAGTCTGTTGTGCATTGGTCATCACCTCCACCCTCTGCAAAATCCACACCATCCCTTGAATGGGTGAGTTCCGAGGCTGGATTGTCATTAGAAAAGGTCCTGTCGGCAAGGCCTTACTATGGGGGGTGGGGTGGATTCAACACAGGCCCTGTGGTCTGCACGGTGCACTTCCTTCTGTGATCACTGCAGAAGTTCAGGAGAAGAAAAGCAACCTGCCCTTTCCCTTTCTTTTGTAACTTGGAACATGAGCAACCTCTCCTATGCATGTAAAACTGTGCTTTTGAGGAACTCTGGGGCTCCATATAAGTCGGGCTTCTCTGGTGTTGATGCTGATTTCAGCAGCAGGCATTTCTTGTGCAGCGGCTGCATGGTGCCAGAGAGAGCCTGTGGCTTGCAGGGCAGTGGGGGAGTTCAAATGACAGCCTAATTGAGCCACGCTGAACTAGGCTGTGGCTGTTGCTTTCTCACGGTTGCCTGTCTTGTGTCTGCGCAGCTGGAGTTCGGAGCCGGAGACCTGCAGGGCCCTTTGTTTGGTCTGAAAGTATTTCGGAATCTCACGCAAAGGTGGTGAGTACCTTTGAAACGGGCACAGTTTTAACTCTCTTGGAAAGAAGAAGACTGACTTCCATTCGTATTCCTCTTTGTATTGAGTTATTCCTCTTTAAACCCTGTGAGCCTTGAAACATAACATTGTTTTACCGGATCAGACCAAAGGTACATAGAATTCAGCATGCTGAGCTGCCATGTGAAGCACTACTATGTAGGAACCATTTTCGGCAGCTGCTGCATAGCAGACCTAGCCTGTGAAGCATCCTGCAGTATGAGTTGAACTCATGGCCTTGGGAATCGTAGCAAGTGTTGTAAATATTGGGGCGTATATGTCTTGACACTGCTGCCCCATCAAGGCTTTCTGGAGCACAATACTTGGGGTCTCATTGGCAGAAGATAGGGTTTCACAAAATGATTGTTAATTTTCAACACGCTCATTCAGGGACTCTATGGCCTTCTGACCTCTTGAGGCTTTGGTGTGACTCTTGCTTACAGAGGTTCTGGGTAGCTATTTTGCTTCAGATTAAAATCTAAACACCAAAGCTGTGTCATACCTTTCCTTGAGACCAACCAAACTGGGAACAAACAAAACCTTAGTGTGGTGTCATATCTGTCTGTGACCAGAAGATGGCATGAGTTTGCTTTTGCTAGTATTTTTCAGACGCAAAGGCCTCCCCCCCCCCCCCCCCCCCCCCCCTCCAGCTTCTTTTGGATAAAACGTGAGGGAATCAGAGCTCAGTAGAAAACGGCAGGGTCTAGCTGGGCCTGTGTGGAACCTGAGCTTTGACGACACAGTTTTAAATTTAGTTCTCAGTGGAACACGGAGCAAAGGGTTTCTTGTTGAAGGCAGGCCTGGGGAAAATAGCTTTGTGTATTTTCCTGGATGAATTATAACCCTAGCTGTCCTTTGATTGGGTGCAGGTAGAAAATGCTCAGTACATCAGAGATGGCTGAGCAAGACAGAGCTGGGTGGAAGTGAAAGTCGTGATCCAGTGAAACACAGGATTTCGTCCAGGGGCAACAGTCCACTTCCTGTATGGGGATTCTTCCCCCCGGCCACTAGCAGGGGATGGGGGAGTAGGGTTGCCAGATCCAGCTTTTAAAACTCCTGGAGATTTGGGGATGGAGCCTGAGAAGGGCAGGGATTTCAGTGGGGTCCAATGCCATAGAGTCCACCCTTCAAAGTATCCATTATCCCCAAAGGGAACTGATCTCTGTAGTTGGAAATGAGCTGTAATTCTGGGGGGTCCCCAGGTCCCACCTGGAGGCTGGCATCCCTAGCGCAGGCTGTGATTCCTGGCTGCTGTGCAGACAGACAAAGAGGTGGACTAGACTCTGCTTGAGGTGCCTTGTAGCTTCCGGGGATGAAATGGGCTGTCTTTCCGAGGATACTTAAGACCCCTCGATGAACCGTGTAAGAGAGTGAAGGTTGCCATTTTCCTGTTGAAGAGAATGGGGCAGCTCCCCTGCACACGTCCATCAGAGCCATGCAGAGCAGCCCAAATGCCCAAAATGGTCCCTTCTCATCCCAGGGAGGTAATCCTGGAGGAAGGGATGTATGTGCATGTGTGTTGTAAGAAGGGAAGGGGGCTAATTGTTTGCCTACTTGGTTGCACATCCTGAGACTCCTGAAGATGCACATTCTCTCCTCTTTTGAGGGGAGGGGCAAGGATCTTAGAAGCCAGTTAAAGGGTGGGAAGGAAAACACTGCTTGCGCACAGAATTTTCCCTGGCAGGATCTTACTGCCCTGTCCCCTTAACTTGCAGCTTCATCACAACAAACTTTGCACTACAGTTCTCTTCCCACGGGATGCGGCCAGGCTTTACCACCGTCCTGGCAAGGCACCTGGACAAGAACACAATGGGGTACTTGCAGTGGCGCTGGGGCATTCAGTCGGCAATGAATACGAGCATCGTCCGGGACACAAAAACTAGCCACTTCACCATGGCGTTTCAGGTAAGAGCCTGCTCCTCAGCCCACAAAACTGCTGCTTGCAGCGGGAGAAGAGGCACCTTGTTGTGTGTGTCTGTGTTTGTTTCATCCATTTATTTAGAACATTCGTGTGCCGCCTCTCCAGACCTGCTTGAGGAGGTTCGCCGCTAAAGCAGCAGAAGCAATTAAAAAACGATATAAATAAGAACAAATGAAAATAAATCACAACGGCCAATAAAAGCAAGCCAGAGTACAAAAGTGCTTTAAACAGAGCAGTTTAAATTGCTGACGGAAGTAGTCCGTAGGCTAAGAGCTGAATGTAAGACAGCTAAAAAAAGAAATGGGGACCTCTTTGTTAAAAGCCTGGGTAAAGAGCGATGTTTTGGCCTGGTGCCTAAAAGAGTGGGCATCAGGGGAGCCTCAAGAGGGAGGGGATTCCAAAGGAAAATGCAGCACCTTCCGTTGTTGTGGATCAAGAAGTCCCCTGTTTGGGCCTGGTGGCCAGTCCATAATACTTAGGGAAGAGAAGAACAGGAAAAGTTTTGGGCTTCATACTTCCAGTGGGTACAGCGTTCCGTTTTCCACGTCTTTGACTGATCCTGGATTATTAAAGGGAACTGGTTTTTATTTGCTTGGTTGCATCCTCCAGCCCTGTCCCAAGCATTTTGCATGGATTCCCAAGATATTTACAAGCTTATGTTTTTTCCCTTTTTGCCACTGCCACTGAAACTGTCTGAAGGAGTAAGAGTACGGGATCTTAAGAACAAAGGAACTGCCCTACTGAATCAGGCCAAAGGTCTACTTCGCCCAGCCTTCCATCTTCCGACAGCAGCCAGCCCCAGATACCATCTTTGTGACGTTCATAAGCAGAGCATCTATGCATGATGGCTCTATGCTCCTACAAGCATGGATCCATTGAGCTGTCAATATTCTTGAGAGAGAGAGAGAGAGAGAGAGATCTTTTAATTTACTTACAATATATTTATTTAAAATATTTGTGTACTCCACTTTCTCCTGAGTATCCCTAGGACCCATATGCCATGAATTGGTTCAGTCCTTTTAAAAATCCATCTAAACTATTGGCTGTTGCCACATCTTGTGACAGGGAGTTCCCTGAGCTCAATATGCATTGTGGGAGGGAGGGACCTCTTCTTGCCTTTCTGTCCATCAGCTTCTTACCTACAGGGCCTCAGTTCCTAAGCACATATGTGAGAGAGAACTGGATGTGGTTCACTTGACCATTCATTTCTCTGGTCTTGCAGCTGGGCATCCCTCACTCCTTCATGATGGTCAGCTACCAGCATAAGTTTGAGGACGAGGAGCAGACACGGGTGAAAGGATCTCTCAAGTAAGCCAGTGCCAAAGTGTTATGGTTGAACGTGCCATGGTGGGTCTAACTCAAGGGCCTGCATCCTTTTGCAATTAAAGAGCCAAACTGTCAGAATTCAGAGCAAGAGATCAACAAAGAGCCGGTATAAGAGAGCCTATTTGCATTAGTGCAAATATGCAACATCATTACTGACAATTAGTGCATTGGTTAAAAATCCCTAAAGCTTCCACAGCCCAAGCATTAGTGCTTGTGAGTCCTTTATGAGGAAACAGCACATTCAAGATCTTGTAATAAGAAATACACACACCCTGCACAATTAAAGAGTCATATTTGGTTCCCGAATTACTAAACGGAGGCTATTATACTTTCTTCACATTATGAGAAGACAAGACTCATTGGAAAAGACAATGATACTAGGAAAAGTCGATGGCAGCAGGAAACGAGGAAGACCCTGCATGAGATGGATTGGCTCTAAATGTAGAAGGGAGGTGGTTTTGGGTAAGGGTTTTATTTCAGTTTTTCAGTTTTATTGTCTAAGACCTTGGTCTAAGAACAGGGGGACTGGCTCAGTCAAAGAAGCCATAGCCCTCCATTTGCAGGACCCAAGTCAAGGCTGTTAACAATAGGACTTTGGGGAGGTCATTAATTCATAGGGTCACCATAAGTCAGACGCAACTTGATGGCACTGAACACACACACACACATGCTTGGTTCCCTACTAAGCCAGGTTTGGCTCTAGAGCCTTTCAAAGCGCTTCTGCAAAAGTGTTCCAAGCCCTACAGAAGTTGCTCCAAAATCAGCTGGGCCAGGATTTTCGCATCTGTGCTACGTATGCAGAATGGTGAAGCCCACAGGCCCAGAGCCATCCTGATGGTTCTTTTCATGCATAGCAGAGAGCAGGCATAGTCCAAGAAGGGGGGTGGGGGGAGGCCTGCAGTGTTGCCTTTGAACCTTACGTGGGCAAACCTCCAGTACTGTGCAAAACCAATAATCTAGAAAGATAACACTTCCCTTTCTTATTTTCAATTTTCTCCCACTCCAGGGCTGGCTTCTTTGGGACCATTGTGGAATATGGAGCAGAGCGAAAGATCTCCAGGCACAGCATCCTTGGAGCCACCATAAGCGTCGGCGTCCCTCAGGGAGTGTCTTTGAAAATCAAGTGAGTTGGAGATTCTACCCATGCGTGCCAGTCTTGGTTGCCTGGGTTCTTAAGTTGCCTGCTAGCACCCACTGAGGCGTTCTGCCAAAATGATGGGAGGCAAAGGAGCATGTAAACGCCAGAGAACGGGGTGAGTGGGTATATGTTCCTTCTGATCCTTTGATTGACATCAGGATCCAAGCATGTCAGAATTTTAGGGCAGTTTGGCTTTTTGATGGACCCAGGACTTCTAGTGGAACTTGTGCTGCTGAGAAGCTGGACTGCAGATTTCACTTCTGCCAGCAGAGGGCTCTGGAGTCCTTCAGACGGCTCTGAAAGGCACCATCAGGCTTTGCAGCTAACTCTGTGGCCCACTTGCTTGCTCTGCCTAAATGATCAGCATCAGTTGCCTGGGTTCAGACTTGGCCCAAACACAGAGAGCAGCCAGGCACTGCATGGCCTCTGATGGGGCCCACTGCTGCCAACTCCCTACTCACATATCTCTCATTTGCTGTAGTGGTTATGAGTGACGGACTCTAATCTGGAGAACCGAGTTTGATTCCCCCACTCTTCCACATGCAGCCAGCTGGGTGACCTTGGGTCAGTCACAGTTCTCTTAGAGCTGTTTTCTCAAAGAGCTCTCTCAGCCCCACCTACCGCACAGGGTGTCTGTTGTGGGGAGAGGAAGGGAAGGAGATTGTAGGAGTGGAAGGCGGGGTATAAATGCAACTCTTCTTCTTCTTCATGCCTGCACTCGCGCCCTTCGACGGCCTGCTTACGAGTGCTTTGTCACCTGTGCTCCCAGCTGCACATGCTTCCACAGCACTGCTGGAGAAGGGCACGTGAGCAGTGCACAAAGCATTAGTTTTCCTGGTAACTGTGGCGGTCCTGGCTGCATCCACCACCCTCTGGGGATAAGGGCACACAGGCAGTGTGGGCATCCATGACTGCAAGTGGTGGGAGAGCTTGAGAATGGGCAGAGGAAGGACGCACAGGCAGGTGGGAGGCATGAAGGTGGGATGGAGGGAGGGAAGGAGGGCCTGGTGGTGGGCAGAGGAGGGACCCTGGGAATTCACTGTCCAGGGTCTCCCAAAACATGGAATTGGCCCTGTCTCATAGGGATGGGAAGCCCTGTGGGACAGGGAACTGGAGGTGGGATCTGCAGAAGCTGTAAGTGCATATTTGAGCTCCTGCAGCTTTGATCGTAAGAACATAAGAGCCCTGCTGGATCAGACCAGGGGTCCCTCTAGTCCAGCATCCTGCCTCACACAGTGGCCAACCAGTTCCTCTGGAGGGCTAGCAGCAGGGAACAGAGGCTGAGGCCTTCATAAGAACATCAGAAGAGCCCTGCTGGATCAGGCCAGTGGCCCATCTAGAAACTAATTTATGCAGCAGCCAAATCGCTCTCTCCCAACTTTAATGCCAGTAGCTCACAAGGTCGAATTTTTGCTCACAGGACTCCACAGCTCAGAGGGAGCAGTATGTGTGCTTGGCTTCCCTGGCTAGTGGCTTCCTTTTTTAAAGACACGAAGCTGGCTTGTACTGAATCAGAGTCTTGGTCCATCAAAG